AGCAGAGCCGCCTGCTCAACGGGGTCACACGCAGCAGCCGTGCTGCCTCCCCCATGGGCCGCGTCATCCTCATCAACACCCCCATTGAAGGTGGGTAGGGTGTCCTCTCAGCCCTCTGCCCACCTGTGTGGCCAGCAGCACCCAGATGCCTGGGTTCCCTGGGTTTGGGCACAGGGACAATTGTCCCGAGACTGGGGACATCCCCAGCAAGAGAGACACGCCCCTCCTGCCATTGCTCACACCCCGGCCAGGTGACCCAGCCTCTCCCCTGTCCTCACAGCCAGCAGCAACGAGAGTGACGTCATCAACGCCATCACGGTGGAGAAGAGCGCGGATGGCAAGTTGGGCTTCAGCGTCCGCGGCGGCTCCGAGCACGGGCTGGGCATCTTCGTCAGCAAAGTGGAGGAGGGCAGTGCTGCTGGTAAGTGGGACAGTGTGAGGGACACTTGTGGGGACAGGCATGTGCCAACAGGACCCTCTTGGGGAGCTCCCAGTGACACAGTACCCCAGTGACAATGTCACCCTTCATGGTGACAGGCCACCATTTGGTTCCTGCCATCTCTAGCCATGGGGTTTTCAGGCTTCCTGCAGAGAAGGGCAGGAGTGGGCAGCCCTGTGCAAATGGCTCTGAGCTCTATCCCCAAGCCACGGTGAGGTGACAAGACCTCCATGGCTGCCACATCCTTGGTGCGGTTGCCAGGCATCCCTGCCTCTGTTCCCATGGAGTTCAGATCAGGCTGGGGATATATTTAGGGAGGGTACACCAAACAGGACTATCAGTGCCAGGTCAGGTGCCAAGCTGAGCTGTGTGCCCCTCGCAGAGCAGGCTGGCCTATGTGTTGGTGACAAGATCACAGAGGTGAACAGCGTGAGCCTGGAGAACATCACCATGAGCAGTGCTGTCAAGGTCCTGACTGGCAACAACCGCCTCCGCATGGTGGTCCGTCGGATGGGACGCGTGCCAGGCATCAAGTTCTCTAAGGAGAAGACAGCATGGTAAGCAGGGCATCCCCTATGCCAGCACCTCAAAGCCCAGCCCCATAGAGGGCGTGGTGGGGAGGTGTGGTGGGGGATGGTGGGGGACATGGAACAGAGCTGAGAGGCCTCCAAGGTGGGAAGGAATCGGAATTGGGCAAAGGTGTGTAGAGGCACAGGATGGGATAGGAAGGTCTGGAGCAGACAGGCTGGCTGCAAACCCCATCCTCAGCGTCCCCCATTCCCATCACTCTCCTCCTTTGGGTGACACCAATGGCCCTGTCCTGCTGGAGGATGAGAGCCAGACACCAAGCCCCCACCAACACTGTGCCCACTGCAGGGTCGATGTGGTGAACAGGCGCCTAGTGGTAGAGAAAAGCGGCTCGCCGCCATCGGAGAGCGGCTCCGAGGACGGGCTGCGGCGCATCGTCCACCTCTACACCACCTCTGATGACTACTGCCTGGGCTTCAACATCCGCGGCGGCAGGGAGTTCGGCC